TCAAGGATGAGGCACCCTACCAATCGTGCTGTTTTGGGCCCCCCATTGATCAAGTCTCACTTGGCATTATGTATTACGTACGGGCCAACAAATCATGTCATTTAAGGCACACCACCAATCATGTCATTATGGGCTACCCTCTGGGATAAGGCACCCCACAGTTCACGCCGTTTTGGGTGCCCCATTAATCCAGCTGTGGTGTTAATCGTTGGATTCATTATGAGGCACCTCACCATTTCAGGGGGTGCCTCATACATAATGACATGATTGGCGAGACACCCACAAAACCAAGTGACATTGGTTGTGCATCCTGGCAATCTCGTCATGGGCGGCGGGCGCCCAACCAATGTCACTCGGCTTTATGGGGCGCCCATACAGATATGGGCACGTTGGTCATTAGTTTTGTATGGCGTGACTGGCATCCAATGGAATTGCGTCATTTTTTCTAAAGAGGGGGGGGGCAGCCACACCCCGTGCCACCCCACTAGCTATGGGTCTGATGTCTGATTACACTATTGAGCTGCGGTGTGCTTACAAGAATTGTAGACTGATGAATTGACATGGGTAATGACAAAATAAAAGCATGTAACATGTATAGGTTCCACGCAACTGAGCTAAACCATTACAGTAGCTATAAACTGATGTTTAATATATGATAATCTCTGGTGTAAGTCAGGATCATGCTCAGATGTCATATGATTCAGGGTCCTGTTTCATGAAATTTTAACAGATACTTCAATTTTGATTGGCTAAGCACTACAATATGGGCCCTTATTCATGAAAACTTAAACTAAGATACAATCGAAATTTTAAGAAATACTGCAATTCGATTGGCTGACCAGTAAAATCAATTTGCATATTGGTCAGCCAATCGAATTGCAGTATTTCTTAAAATTTCGATTGTATCTTAGTTTAAGTTTTCGTGAATAAGGGCCCAGTCTAATATTATCCAATCAAATTATTAAAATTTGGATTTTATCTTAGTTAAAATTTGTTGAAACAGGCCCCAGGTACTCAAAGGCAAACATGCTTTTTTTTTCAATTCACAAAAGAATTTTTGGAAGCTGGAGCGAAGTTAAAGTGGGTGCTGCCACAATGAAAGCATATTGGATGCATGTTTCAAGTGATAAATTTGTATATTTAGACAAACAATAAGGGTAGGATATCTCTACTTTCTGATGAAAATAATATACAATAATAACACTATTATGTATACTTATTTACTTACTAGGATACAATAACATATATATATATAGTACTGTGGTATAACATGTTGTTATCAGTGGTCAGTTACAACAATATTTATCATTGTATAATTTACTATAAGAACAGGCTTGCCTTCATATTAAGATACTTTTAGAAATTTTCAAGGAAACAGGCCAGGAATAACTTGTCAAAATCAGTCGTAATTTAATTTGAACATCATAGCCACTCCAGTGAAATAATTTGGTTATTTATTTTGTAACTCATTAAGAAGCATTGCACACAGCACCTTAATGATATCTTTAAGGCAATTATCATCCATTAAGCCCCTTTCCCCTTGAGATAAAGACCAAACTGTCACTTTACTCCCAAGGTTGAAACTGTCTTTTGACTGATAATGGGATGGTAAAGTGCATTTTGTTGTTAATTTATGACTGATTACTTACAAAATTTAACCACAAACTTATTATAAATGACCCTTCTAATTGCAAAGTACATGTATTATCTGATATTCTTGACGAAAACATCTGGAAATTACTTGTATTTATATCCAAAACAGTTGTATGAAATCACTAGGGTTTTTTCTGTAAACATTGTTGATGTTTCTTGATTTTTCTTCACTAATCATTTAAAATCTTGTCATGCAAAACCTGTCTTGAACATCCCTATATCTATGTATGATACAAGTTAAAAAAAACATCGGCTTACTAAGATTAATATTAGGGCAATGACTTCAGATCAAAGCTTAAAACATATCTGTTTAGACTGTATTTCAATATATACATGTAGGCTTTATTGTAATGATTCAAGCAGGCTCTGGGATGGATTGGGGCATTATACATACCTACCTTATCATTATTATCTTATTTCTATATTCACCTCCAGAATTAATACATGTATGCTCTACAAGTACTGGCTGATGTCAAGAAATTTACTTTAAAGTCTTTATTTCTGTTCATGTATACTAGGGCAATTCACTAAATATGCTGATAATAATAATAGGTTCACTCATTTTTTACCTCTACATGCTAAAATACCATCTTGAAAGACAATCAACGATGTATATTTCATATGCAAATCTGTGGAAGGCAATATGTTTTCAATGGAAAATAACTGCATGCAAATATAGCTGAGTTGGCATTGTTCCACTTCCAAGATAGGTACAGTACTATATATAAACCTACAGAAACCGGTACTAGTACACACTATGTATACAGGTTTGTTAATGGCAGTCTAACGTCAAACTTGGAGAGCACTTCCATGTTCATTTAATATAATAAACTGATGCCTGATGCTGAGCTACATGATCTTGTATATAATGTCAATAAACTTTGAAAATAGAAAACATCAGAATCTTAGAATTGTGGATTTCCTGCAAGTAGAGGTCACCAAAGAAAAGGTATCCAGAGTGATTTTATAATTAATAATGCATTAATAGGTATGGTACGCATGTGTCATTCTCACATATGCAATTCTTACAAAAAGATTCCAATTCTTGAAAAAAGAGTTTTTGCCTTCCATCCATGAGCCACATAACATTTGCACCAAATTTTTGGTCATTTTCCAAGTTTGTTCTCTTGTAAACTGGTACTATCAGAATAGTGGGTATGTTGAACGTTGAACCCAATGTAAATTATAGCTGAGTACCATACGTGTATGAGGTCAAAATCTTCCCCAAAATTTTTTAGTTGTATGATGTAATGAACGGTTCTAAAAAAAAACCCCAACATATCAGCGGGTAGATGGACTATGTATATCCTCCCTGGTACATGATACTCACTAATTCTACTAGATATTAGAATGAGTTTGGATTGAGAAGGATATGAAAACTAGCCTAAATGGAGCTACCTATGAAAAAATCAATTTCATCAATCAAATTTTCTTGTGCTATCAATCACACTGATTGATCACGATGAAATAAAGAAGAAACACAACAGACTACTTTATCAATAAGATATCTATTCATGAATAAGAAATGAAATCAAGCATAAAAATTCAAATAACAGTACAATATTGATTCTGTCATAAGACCTTATTATTAAACAATACTATCATCCATAGATCAATTTCTCTTTAATCATAACACTCATTGATTAATGACTGGTATTCTGATTAATTAACTAATCAACCATAACAATTACTAGCCTTAGTCACAAATTCAAGAATTCAGTTATCTTCATTTGAAAGAAGTGCCTTGTCATTGACATTTGAGGATAAAAAATTAAATCTAACTGGCTTACTAAACAAATTGTTAGACAATATCGCCCTCGGTGGTATAGAATATATCAATGGGATCTAGACTGAATTTTAGTGTAAAGCAAAATTAAATGCACTTGAAAGCATGTATTGACAACATATTAATTTTAAAAAAACAAACAATTTATCTGACAGCAAATCACTCAAGGTATTAAATAACTTGGCAATTTGACATAAGTTACTTAATTTGTTGGGATAAAGACAAATTCGGTTTTCACCTGATCTGATTTTCAATTTCATAAGGGAAATGCTCTGTCAACCCCTACAAATGGAACAGTTGCAGTTGGTGAATGATTTCTTTATTAGATCACTACAGAGATAACTGAATTAAATACACATTCCCCTTCTTTTATGTCACTGGTCTAGTTTGTTTCTAACCCATTTTTATTTGTTTGGAGTATTGTCTGAATAAGTGCTTAAATGAACTGTGACAATAATGACGTCAGGACTATATAGGTTTTTGTCTTAAACGGGAAAAATGTCAAATACCTCATGCAATGAAGTCCAAGCAAAATATTGAATCTTTAAACCACATGACATTGTGTGAAATAGCTTTATTTAACATCCGCTTCCATCGAAGTGATATCGCCGACACGCCTTAAACCCGCAGTGTGTGGACTGTTTTATCTCCTATTTCGACCTCTTCAACATGTGGTCACCTATTAAAGGGACCCAATGCAGCCGAGCTGTAGTACACTGAACGGGGTGTTGAGCAGTATAAAATTCGGTGAGCAGTCATGGATATCCATCAATACACACTATCTTTAATCAGTTTTCCACACCAAAGACTTGCCGCCTCGTTTGGCACCTACCTTTATTTGAGTGTTTATTGATGAAAATGATAGGACAACAAGCTATTGCGTTAACTCGATTTACAATTCTTTAATTCTAAAGTATCGTAATTATGCAACGTTCATGCACATTGACACCTATTAAAAGAAGTAGCCTAACATTAAATTCGCGTGCTAAAGGTTGTGCGTGCGTGTGGATACAATGTTTCTCGAACTATTCACTTATAGTTATAACTCTGTAAAGTGTGCTGGTTACGTGAAGTACTGTTAACGACTGCAACAGATCAATGTCCCGTTATCGGACCGTGCCTCATCACAAGACAGACCAATTTCACTACTTTATGTTTCCGTATTCACCCAATTACGTGTTATTATGACGATGACAGGTGTCGCATGTGAGACTGGGTATGCTAACTCTTTTCGAAACACTTGATTATGCTGATCCTACTTTTCCATGAAAAGGCCAGTTACTTTTTTGGTCAGTTGTAATGGTGACATCCACGTACTATATTACACTATTTTGTTCTTAGAGTATTTACGGACTTTGTGTTTGACTGCTCGTTCGGATCGACGATACTATATTTTAATCATAATATTGCAGAAATGACGTTATACCCGAAGAGATAATGCATGATCAACTTATCGGTTATTGAACAATCATTTTATAGACCGCGTATATTCCAAGAATGGATACATACATTGATGAAAGAAAAAGAAAATATGTTTTCTCAAAATAAAAAAATGGCTTACCATTGCACCGCAAAGACTTAAAGTGGCCACTGAATTAATCTCATTCTCCACAGTTCCCGAATAAAAACATTGAAATTCTCCTTTATTATATTCCTCTAATAACGTTGTATTCTCGCCTTGGCGTTCTATCAAAAAACTCGGTCCAAGAAAATCCCTAGAAAGCGATAGATTTAAGGTAAAATTTCTTCTTAATCCACTGAAAATCAACTTCTCATTAGGATTAAGCGTTCGCTTAAGCTTATCGCTAACACTTCGCTTCCATATATGCCTGAAAGCTGGCGATTCCACAAAATCCGACACTCGTTGAGGGTAAAACACATCAAAATATTCCACTGAATCTGAAATAGAAAATTTATGTAAGATTTTGCAGATGTGCAAAAAAGATAAAAGTTGCTGGAAAGCAAAAATGACAGGTATAAACTGTCTTGAAAGAACAATTCTCCCGTTTTTCTTTTATCCTTATAGTAGTCTGTAGTAAAAGTTTATTAAGTTCCGTTACCTGTTTCCTTATTATCCCTTGTTGATAGGCTTAGTATACGGGATGGTGACATAAAAAGAATGCACCATATCCCTACTATGGCCCAGCACAGAGGCATGGTCAAGTTGTTACAAAGCACTTCATTCAACCCGTTCCTTACACTCGAGTCTACTAAGAACAGAACATTTCCAAAAAGCGTTTCCAAATAATTCCCAAAAAGCTCCACCCAGTATATTTTGAGCCAATCAAAATAGGACATTCGTCCGTCAGTCATTGTGATTGACAGAGCTGTAAACGCTAAATAAAGCTAGTACTAGTAGTAGTATAGTAACTAAACTACATCTTAATTCTTGTATAGATAATGATCAGGATTTCATCGTATCACCCACTGTAATATACTGGAACATGTTTGTAAAATGCTAAAACAAAAATACATACATACTAAGAATGATGTTTGCATTGAACTGGTCTTATTCATTGGCCTAAATATCTTATAATCTTTGCATAAAATTATTAAGATACGGTACTAGTTTTAAAATTTAGCATATCTGGAGTGGGATTGTTTTTACAAACTGTTCATTTTCCAGATTACAGTTAATACGTATAATTATCCGTGAAATGGAAATGAAATGAAATGAAATGGGGTTTTAACGTCCTACTGTTTTGCTCCGAACTGGGCTAATGAAGATGGGCATACGCCATACGTGCTATGATGAGGGAAATTTTGCCTGGACAGCGGCACTACGGCCCATAACTCTTATATCGAATTCCAACTGTCAAGGGATCTTTTACGTGCACGCCAATGTGTAGGCCTACACGGAACCTCGGTTTTTCATCTCATCCGAATGACTAGACAGCTGTCCTTGTCAGGCCAGGCTCCGTCCTGCATCAGTGACCACGCCGGAAAATCTGGATGAACTTTCTCGCCCAATGCAGGGATCGAACAACCCGTGAAATGGAGACTCAGTCAAATATGTGCTATTGGGTCATTGAAATGAAAGGAGTTAAGGACATTTATATTTACCAATGCCTTGGGTATCCGCATTTATTTAAACCCAACATATTCACATTTTTTATATTTATTTCATTTCTTATATAAATTGTTATTTCCTATTATATTTACTTCTATATTCGTTGCTTATTTTTGTTTTGCTTCTTTCACGTTCATTACTCTGTTATTTTTTTATTGCGACAAATTGTTTTCCTCTCGAGTTGCGATAACTTTTCTTTCTAAATTCTTGCAATTTGCGTCTCTATTATTAAATAATATTAATAGTATAGGGAGGGGAGGAGGTCAAACTACAAAGATATTTGTAAAATAAAACAATGTAAACCACATTGGACATTGCGAGATCATGTAGATAGCAACAGTGAAAGAAATCCGGTTAAAGCTAACACGTTTTATGTGAAATCATGTCTTAATTTCAGTGATCAATAGATCGACTACGATGCCGATTGTCGAATAGCTAGAACTATCTTGGCAGGTGCTTTGTTTTGCTCGCGCGGGCTAAACCGGATGCCGCAGACCACTTGCCCATGCGCAATCGCTGTTGAAGAAACCGACGCATCTCCGATTTGTATTATGTTTTGAAAATACATTTTAAGATATTTTAAATTGTGTATTCATAAAACTGGATGGTATGCTTACGTTTGGATTATTCAAGATTCGAAATATCACAACTTGTATAAATATATAGGTAAGAATATGTGGGGGTAATCAAAACATATCTTCGGAGTGAAGCTGCGGCTTTGTTTGTGAGGAATGATTTGAAATAACCGTTCAAAACAACAACCCATTTGACGTTAATGTAAGCTACACTAGCACAGAACCTACACCGATAGCCAAATAATATTGTTTTCTATCGTTTCTTTGGACATCAGTGGATGTGCCTGTTTCAGAGGTTTTGTAAAATTTCTGGAAAGAGGAAATTAACTCAATCCCGCTCCGCCATCTTGCATTTTTCATCACCCGAAATCGACTTCCTGTTCATCATAGCGGTATTTTTGTTGATTATTTCTGAAATTTTCAATTTGTATCTTAGCACAACGACACCCCCCATTGTACCAACCTTTTAAATTGTATTTAAATTATGAGGTGCTTTTATTTTTTACTGAACAATTCGGTTTATTGACTGCAAAAACGACATGTAGTCACATGTATTAATATTATTGCCATTGGACCATTGGTGTGTTGTAGTCATGCCTGGCTTGACCTTTGACCTATTTATAAATAAGCCTGTGTTTTTGCTTTTTTCTGTGAGTGATATCACACGGATGGAAGCGGATGTTAAATTCACACAAACACGCCTATTTAGGCCTATAATTAGGCTCTATTTTATAGCTAGAATTTTTTTTTTACTAAACTCATAATGTTCATTTAATACCATAATATGTTAATACCACTAATACCAGTATTTGTTTGGGAAGCTTAATGTTTGAAGCCATTGAAGGACGTCAGTCATTATCACATCACAGAAGAACTATAGAACTGGTTAAAAAACAGGCTCCAAATATAGTTTTAACACAGAAATCATTGCTACGATAGATGCGTATGACTTATGAAGTGACCAACGCAAAAGAAAAACACAAATTATCCTTCTATATAACTGACAGAAGTGACGAGTGATAAGAGATACACAGGCAAATTTCTGCTCACTAATAATTCCTTTGAACTTTGAAGACCAAAAATTGTTATTTATATCGTATGTGAGACTGTGAGATAATAGATAATTCAAAAAAGTAAAATATTGAATGTCACTAGATAAGGCAGTTTCCCTTGTGACAGAACCACACATGCAAGGTTTCTGCTGCATGTATGAGTGGCCCGGGTACGGTAATTTAAATTAGGCCTACCTAGTACCTGGCCTACATGTAACTTACTTACCAGGTATTGAAATTTTAAAGTTTGCAATTCTTGCTCTAATTCTAATTAAGTGTGAACTGTAAATTTTATTTTGTTAGACTATCGTAAGAAAAGATGAAACATGTCAAATACATACAGCACCTAGGCTAGTGGACTGTTCCATCTTGATTCTATAGCAATGTAGTCCTAGCCCCTAGGATTCATAGATGGTAAATATTTAGAATGGGCATTGTTTTTTCCCATACCAGTAGCAAGAAAACAGGGGGTGACAGTCAATCATTCTCCTGGACTTATAGATTTCATCTTGGTTTTTTGTTTGGTATGAGAGGGCTAATTATATTTAGGATACTGTGGGCTCATCCTCACATGTAGCCTATTTTCTACAAGTATTGCATGTGCCAACAAAGTATATTTATGGTAAATATTTAAAATGGGTGTTGTTTTTTCCCATACACCTGTAGCAAGAAAACAGGGGGTGACAGTCAATCATTCTCCTGGCCTTATAGATCTCATCTTGGTTTTTTGTTTGGTATGAGAGGGCTAATTATATTTAGGATACTCTGGGCTCATCCTCATGTAGCCTATTTTCTACAAGTAATATTGGATGTGCCAACAAAGTAAATGCCTTAGACAATTAGACAGTAGGAGGGGTGATGATTTTCACTTTCAAAAGATGGCAAATTCCGTTTTAAGTATTTTGAATTCCATTATTTTCCGTTTCAATTATCACAATATTAAATTCAACTATAAGCTTACAGAGTAATTGTAGGGATAAATGGAAGACAGGTTTTCGTTTCGAAAGTAGCTGTAATGTAAAACGATGCGATATCGTTCAATATTTTCGATTTTTATACGTCCACATTCATAATGTGAACGTATTATGCCGTCGCCCCTGTCTGTGTGTGTGTGTGTGTGTGTGTATGTATGTATGTGTGTGTGTGTGTCTGTGGTTCGCCTACAGGGCGCAATTCTTCATGGATTTTCTTCAAACTTGGTATACTTATTCCTTATACCCCAAGGAAGATCCCTATTGTTTTTGGTGCATGCCCGACCCCCCGGGGCAGAGCCACGCCCATTTCTAGTATTTGTTTGTTTGTCGTCTACAGGCCACATTTCTTAACTAATAATCTTGAAACTTTGCATACACATTCTTTGTACCCTAAGGAACATCCCTATCGTTTGGGGTGCATGCCCAACCCCCAGGGGCAGAGCCACGCCCATTTTCTTTTCGTGTGTCTTTGTGTCGCCTACAGGGCGCAATTCTTACTGGATTTTCTTCAAACTTGGTATACTTATTCCTTATACCCCAAGGAAGATCCCTATTGTTTTTGGTGCATGCCCGACCCCCAGGGGCAGAGCCACGCCCATTTCTAGTATTTGTTTGTTTGTCGTCTACAGGCCACATTTCTTAACTTATAATCTTGCATACACATTCTTTGTACCCTAAGGAACATCCCTATCGTTTGGGGTACATGCCCAACCCCCAGGGGCAGAGCCACGCCCATTTCCCATTTTCTTTTCGTGTGTCTTTGTGTCGCCTACAGGGCGCAATTCTTACTGGATTTTCTTCAAACTTGGTATACTTATTCCTTATACCCCAAGGAAGATCCCTATTGTTTTTGGTGCATGCCCGACCCCCAGGGGCAGAGCCACGCCCATTCCTTATATTTATTTATTTGTTTGTCATCTACAGACCGCATTTCTTAACGTATCAACTTTACATATTTATTCCTTATACCCTAAGGATGATCCCTATTGTTTTTAGTGCATGCTCGCCTCCCCGGGGCAGAGCCACGCCCATTTTTGTATTTGTTTGTTTGTCGTCTACAGGCCGCATTTCTTAACGTATCATCTTGAAACTTTGCATACTTATTCTTTGTACCCTCAGGAACATCCCTATCGTTTTGGGTGCATGCCCACCCCCCAGGGGCAAAGCCACGCCCATTTTCTTTTTCTATGTGTGTGTGTCGCCTACAGACCACAATTCTTAATCAATTGTCTTGAAATTTTTTCATATGAATTGCTTATACCCTAACGATGACCCCTATTGTTTTTTTACCCCCAGGGGCAGAGCCACGCCCATTTTCTTTTCTTTTTATGTCTGTGTGTCACCTACAGGCCACAATTCTTAATCAATCGTCTTGAAAATTTTTCATATGAATTGCTTATACCCTAAGTATGATCCCTATTGTTTTTGGTGCATGCCCGACCACCAGGGGTAGAGCCACGCCCATCCCTTATATTTATTTATTTGTTTGTCATCTACAGATCGCATTTCTTATCGTATCACCTTGAAACTTAGCATACATATTCCTTCTATCCTAAGGAACATCCCTATTAGTTGTGGTGAATACCCAACCCCCAGGGGCAGAGCTACGCCCATTTTCTTTTTTTATGTCTGTGTGTCACTTGCAGACCGCATTTCTTAATCGATCATCTTGAAATTTTTTTTAGACTTATTCCTTATAGCCTAAGGCTACGTTTTTACACTTATTCCTTAATCCTAAGGCTGGCCTCTATTATTATTTTTGGTGCATGCTCAACCCCTTGGGACAGAGTCACGCCTAATGTTTGTGTGTCTTGTGTTTTGCCTACAGGCCGCAATTCTTAACCGATCCTTTTGAAATGGGGATACCTATTCTAAACGTCATGCTTTTAGAATAAAGACATCGATTGTTTTAAAATAAAAATTGTGTTCTGTTAATGTGAACGAAACGTTAAACTGATAGCAGTCCTACAACCCAGTTTTATTTCACAGACCCTCAATGCAAACTGGACCATATCAAACAAAACAGGAATGTGGACGTATATTGCTGCGTTAGCGATGCTCTTGTTTATGAATAAAAGGATGAAATACTTGGATAAATGCAAAATTGTTTTGAATTTTTGTTAACAGCTTTTCCGTATTTTTCCCTGAAACAGGCCTGGAAATAACAGTTTTAGATGTACCTGACAAATTGTCAGGCACTAATGAAATACAATGTAGTTCCTGACACCCCTGCTGACATTTTCAATTTAGTGCTGGACGTATTAAATTTATCAATAAAAAAGACAAATCAGTGCCGGACAAAATGACAGTCACCAGAGGTTTTGTACCTGACAAAGCCTGAATCTGTGCCGGACATTGTCTGTGACAAGTGCCCTATTTCCAGGCTTCCTGTGAAAGATTTCATATTCTGTTTTGAGTGCCGAATTCCGCGATTTAGCAGAAAATCATCACCCGTATTAGAGGTGTCACATGATGAAACATGTGACAGCTTGTATTTTGTGTGATCGCTAAAATTGTCATGTCACTTAAATTGTGGCAATATTTGTCGCTAAACTCGTCACTTAAGTTGTCAGGTAGTGTGCACCAGGCTTAACTATTGTGCCATGCAAAGGGGTCATGAGATGACTGTATCTTTTACATTTTTTTGGAACTATTTCATAATTATCTGGCAAGAATTTAGGAACCCTCTTCAAACACTTATGCATTTCACTGGTTAAAAAAGTGCCCAGCCTGTTCTGTTTCAATCCCACAAGTATACGTGACAAGGGAATAGGGTCAGTTGTCTAAAAAAAAAAAGTGGGTATCAATTATCTGGAATGTCAGCTTTTCTTCCACCATAAAGACCTACTATATGCATGATGAAATTATGTAAGTCCCAGAATAACCTATTTTGTGTTGAGTGGATGTAAAACCCGATTTGTCTATCTATATGTGTCATTCATAGACTTGAAGTTGAAGCTCAACCAAGCTGACAACAGTTTTAATAATTTGATAGGCAGTACAACTGTGTGAAATGTCAAGTCAGGTCAAGTTCTTTACTGGTCAGTGAAGATTGTTCAAGAGATTTGCTTTTCATCTTTATACACACAGTCTTCTATTTCATGTTTAAATGTGAGCTTCCTTAAACAAAATCTACCTATATATTTCAGAAATCTCAATGCCGAAAAGAGCAGAAATACCTGATGATGAAGAGCCCAGGCCCAAAATTGTTTTGGACTTTGATGTTCGATTATTTTGCCAAAACCTGAAGGCTACCAAACCTCCTTATAAATGTCCAGTGGATGGATGTGGCAAATTATATAAAAGTTACAGTGGAATACAATTTCATCTATATAATTTTGATCATGACAACCCAGAAAATTCTGCTCCTTCCCCTGCACGTAAAAACAACAAGAAAAAGGCTAAGTGGCATCATAGACAAGAACGTCGTTCTCCCACTCCACCTGTATTTCTTAGATCTCCCCAAAGAGATTCGTTAACTTATGCTGAAGCTCAACGATTGGTTGAAATAGAGCTTGATGGTCGTATTCAGAGATTAGATATTTATGAACCAATTGAAGTGATATCACAAGATGAAATTGACAACCATCACAACACCGAGAAAGAAGAAAAAACTGAAACTAAAACCCCCCTCAAATCGGGTAAAAGTGTCGATAATAATAACAAAACACGTAAAGAAAATAGTGCTGCACCGATCAAATTACCTGAAGCTCAGTTTAAAGTATTAGAGGGCTACATCAAGCCAAATCACTTTAAACCACGGCCATCATCCTACTACAGATATATAGAAAAAACTGTCGAAGAATTAGATGAGGAAATTGAATATGACATGGATGAGGAGGTAAACATAGCTTTTAGATTCTTTAATATTATTAGCTGACATTGTCAATAAGCTTATCTATAATGATTCTGTCTTCTTGTATCATTTGTTTATTTAAGTGCACTGTCTATAAATTATTTAAAACATATTTCCATGGTTTATGAGTTTATTGCAAAAAACAAATATATCCTTTGTCTATTTTCAGGACCATTCATGGCTAGAATTAATAAATGAAAAACGGGTTAAAGAGGGTACAAACGGTGCAATTACACAAGAAGTTTTTGAAACGCTTATGGACAGGTTTGAAAAAGAAGCGTTTTTTCAAAGTCAAAGTGCGGGTAAAGATCAAAATCCTTCAATTGATGAGGATGCTGTATGTTGTATTTGTATGGACGGAGAGTGCCAGAACAGTAATGTGATTTTATTTTGTGACATGTGTAATTTAGCTGTGCATCAGGAGTGCTATGGTGTACCTTACATTCCCGAAGGACAGTGGTTATGTAGACGCTGTCTTCAATCGCCCTCACGTGCGGTCGATTGCTGTCTCTGTCCGAATAAAGGTGGTGCATTTAAACAGACTGATGATGGGCGGTGGGCGCATGTGGTTTGTGCCATGTGGATACCGGAGGTGGGCTTTGCCAATACAGTATTTTTAGAACCTATAGATAGCATCGAACGAATTCCTCCAGCCCGTAAAAAATTAACTTGTTATATTTGCAAACAGCGAGGTGTTGGAGCATGTATTCAGTGTCATAAGACGAACTGTTACACAGCATTTCATGTTACATGTGCTCAACAGGCTGGTTTATATATGAAAATAGAACCTACTCGAGAACCGGGACCTAACGGTACAGTTCCAGGTGTTAGAAAAACTGCGTACTGTGATGTACATACACCTGCTAATTCTGACTGTACCTCAATGTTCGATGATGACGATGATAAATCTATGTCGGCAAAGAAAGCGAAGGAGAAATCTCGTATTAAAATGAGGAAAGCGAGGAAAATACTAGCAGAAAAAAGAAATGCCATGCCAGTTGTATCAATCCCTACTATTCCTCATTCCAGGTATGATATTATGGTATTGATATTGTCATTTATCCCACAGAGTTCTATATCTCAAGAGACAGCCCCCTCCCCCTCCCTCCTCATTGTCTCAACAAATAGCATGAAATTGAAATGGGCAGAAATAGTGTCATTGAATTGATGTACATGTATCACGATTCACGTAAGCTTATTGAATCATGAGACACTAAATTGTTATTTTTTGTCGCTTCAGTAAGTTACCTACAGGTCACTCTTAATTATCCATGTGACACATTATCCATATCATATAGGTACACAAACACTCTTAAATTGATCCACATCAATATTGTGATATAAAAGTTTTATTTCTATGACATCGGAAGAACTAAAAATATCAATTATTTATTTAGTTACCTGTAGTGTCTCTGATTCAGTGCTGATGTGGTTACATGTAATCAAGGCTTCATAATATTATTTTAGATTTTTTTTAAGTACATGTTACCACTTTTTAATGAGACTGTCTTTCTGAAATTAAACTTGTTTTTTTTTTTAAAACAGAATATCTCGAATAGCATCAATAGTTACTATATCAAAGAAAGAACAGTTTTTAAAACGTTTATTAAGTTATTGGACGTTAAAAAGACAGTCTAGAAATGGTGTACCATTACTTAGACGACTTCAGTCAAATCACATGGCTCGAAGCAGAGATCAAGTAAGTATTATTATATTCTTCTGCATGCTACATGTATACATATGAAAGGTGGGTTTATGTGTTAACTATGCACTCAGGGATTCCATCATTGAATGTGACAAGGAACTAGAATAACCTAACTTTGTCCTGTTTTCCAGTAAATGAGTATAAAAATAAAGAAATAGGACCATATTTGACAAAGTTGTAGTTGAACTTTGTAGTTATGGATAGCCAACAAGTAATGTTGTAATTGGATTCAGTCGTACATAATGATAAAAATGCAACAATAATAATTAATGTTTTTATTTCTAATAATTCTAATAATTTGATTTAATAAAGCTTGATAAAAATTTGATTTAATAAAGCTTGATAAAAATTTGATTTTTTAGACCAAGAATGATCAACAAAGTAGTGAACTACGGGACAAATTGAAGTATTGGCAGAGATTACGACAAGATTTAGAAAAGGCCAGATTATTGGTTGAATTAATCAGAAAGAGAGAAAAGTTAAAACGAGAGCAGGTAAAGTTTAAGTTTACATACTGTTGATGTGCTGTACATATACATGTATAAATGCCTCATTTTAAGTGTTTGTTTCAGTTACTGTTGCTTGCTGAGTGTTACTCTGGTCTTCCTAATACACTAATTCAACTGCAAGACAACGCATTTTAAAAATCTAAATATTGTACATAGTAAGTTTGGACTGGAGATTTTGAATGAGTTCACAAATCCATCCCTGTTTTACTGTGAGAACTTGACATTCTTCTTTTTAAAAATTAAAAGATAACAGAGCCACTTAAATAAAACGAATAATTCCATTATAATAAATCCATTCTGTTAATACATTTGTAGTTTGTACCATTGTGAAAGTAGATTGTAATAGTATAATGATTTTTATTCGCAAAAAGAAATCAATGAATAAGAAAACTACACCAACGTTAATACTAGGGTTTGTGTTTATTTCCATATTTTCATTTCAAGTTTCTTGAGTTGAGTTGTGTTGAGAAGTGTATTTTCTCAAACAGATCTACATGTATATCTTGGTGACTTAGATTACCAAAGTCTTTTCTATGTTTAGTTCTTTGTACAAGTGCAGACCTAGTATAAAATTCTGACAACTCTCTATAAAGCCCTGTTTCCTTACACTACACCACAGTATGCATGAACCTTTTTCATTTACTACTCCTTAGAGACAAAACTTGCAATCTTCAGCAGATACATGTAAGACACTGCTTTCAGTTTTCAAATATAATAAATTGTATGGAAAATACTCTTTACCAGTCAATGGTGCATATTTATGGAATGGGCTTCCTCAACAGATCAGTATGACACCTCTGTTTACCAAATATTTTGCTAGAACATAGCTAAAACTTAAACACATTGTGAAGCTCTTAGAAATGACCAGCAGACATAATTTAGCACTGTATAAGACAATTTATTATTATTATTTATATAATTAATTGAATTGAAGCAAAATGTGAACACCAGAGTACCCCCATGTGGAATTCAAGTGTTAAAGATCAGTATACATGTGTATGTAACAGACTACATGTATAGCAGTGATGGGATTTCAAAATTTTTCATGTCGGACATTTTACCGAAAATAAAGGGGCATAACTCTTATCGTTATTTAGGCAGACAAATTCGTACCACAATTAAAAGTTACATGTCAAAATATTCAAATCCCGTACATAATAAAAATATGTGAAACTCGCTATTTTTCATATTTAATTCCCGTACAGTATTAAATTCATACCACAATTAAAAATTCAAATCCTGTACGTAATAAAAATAGGTGAAACTCGCTATTTTTCATATTTAATTCTCGTACAGTATTCAATTTATACCACAATCAAAAATCACATGTCAACAAAATATTCAAATCCTGTACGTAATAAAAATTGGTGACCTCGCTATTTTTCACACTTAATTCCCGTACGGCATTCAAATTTATGTCAGTAAATGTCCTACAAAATTAAGCATTTTCGTAATATGTTGAATGAAAGCTTGCCGATCCTGCTTCGGCATCAAATTCACAACCATAATATTCCTTTAGAATTACGTGTCTTCGTTTATATGGCAGCAAATGAATGCAGAACTTCCGAAATAGTTAAATACGTTAGAATTTCTGCTCATATAGCTATTGGTAGCTCCTCCCCTTTTTGTTATTTTGCTGGGTGCGGTATAGCATCAACCAACTTCGGCGTAAGGCGTACTAGTCTCGGTCACCCAGAAACTCCTAGTCTTCAACATATTCGTAGAATATTTTTCTGGATAATAGAGACTAATAGCCTACGTGACTCAAATCACACAGCTTCATAGTAAGCACTGCCTAATACTATTATGTTGAAGCAATATTCGTGCCGCGCTCGAGATCAAGGGAAAGTGCCACTGTGGATGAGAATTTCTATATGGATTCTTAAAAGACGTAAAAGATATCATAGACGAAATGACTCTTACGATATGTGACATCTATGATTAGTTTATTATAGATGCTGTCGGCTCACATCAATGCGATTAAGATGCCCGACAATTGAGAAACCACACGGTAAACAGGTGGATTAAAATTATAATCATTCTTATTGAATTGATGAATAGTCCGAGAAAAGGAAAGCAATGACTTCTGTTTAAGATTAGATTGATGAATTGTCCGACAAAAGATTAAGTCAGTCAATCAAGGCAGATTAAGTAGTTAATCAAGGTAGGTTTAGACGGTATAACACGATAAATACGTTGATCACTTAATTACCTAATAAACCCAGCGTATTATCGACGATAAACGGGTTGAGTGGTAGTTATACACTCAGTAAACTATATTAATTTCGGAATTTTTAATATTATTCACCATGTCTTGATGTCAGATTGGGCATATTCCCGGTCGGACAATTTTGGGCGTTTGGAAAAAAGATCCGGACAAGTCCGGAATATACGGGCAAAATCCCATCACTGATGTATAGTAAGCTTAAAGGTCAAATTCAGGATCGTAAATAATGATTTTAGATGTTCATTTTACATGTACCTGACAAAATGTCAGACACTAATGAACTAGTACCTGGTATTTTGAACCTGATATTAATACATTGAATAAGATAAATTTGTGCCGGACACAATGGCAGGCACCAGAGGGATTGTGCCTGACAAAGCCTGAATTTGTGCTGGACATTGGTTAAATAACTCAACACTGCCACTGCACTACACTGTGGCTCTACTCAAAACATATGTAAAGTATTGTCATTTTTCCCCAATAACTACTGGTGTGTGTCATTGTACAAGGAAAATACTAAATGTATCTTGGCATACACATTGAATTTTTATAGAAGATGATTAGAATTGTCAGGGTTTGTATTCAAATTTTTAGCCTGTAATCATTCCTATTCTAATTGAGTGTTTAAAGGCATCATATTCATGAATTTTAATTTGGCTAAATGTTATTATCACACCATTAAAACATGTATCTTATTCCAACTCTTAGAACTCGAGGGAGAAAGACTTAATTAGAATCTCATTAATTTATCAGAGAAAACAAATATTAGTCTCTAGATTATATTCTCAAGAGATTTAATTAAAACCGTTGTCATTTGCCTTATTAATGAGTTTAATTATTTGGCTTGTTTGAATGTCAAGTCATATTTTAATAAATTCATTTTACATTATTTAAATTATTACTATAATTAGCTATCTTTTCTTTGATGCTTTGCCTGGGGTTGGAATTAATTACACGATATCTAATCCATGCTGCTCTATATAAATCCATTTGATAATAATGCCACATAAAAAGTTTCATTTTCAACTTAGATTAAAATGTAAGCTTACTCATCATTTCTATAAATGTTCAAGAAAACAGAAATGTGTTAGTTAGATGTAGTTATTTAATATCCAAATCAAAATTTCAAATCAAAGTGATTATGTCCAAGATTTCATGCCTTGATAAAAGTTTGTGTCAATCACAGATAACTATAGTTTAGTGTTTGAGATTTCCATTTTAAACAGCTGATTAAACTGTGACTGTTATTTGTCAAAAATATTGTGTTCTCTCCAATTGCCATCTGGCTTGGTGGTATTACATGTGCATATCTGAATGTAGCGAAATATAGTACTGTAACTTGTCATGAGACGATGCTTAATGACTACATGTACATTATAGTACATGTATATGTATGAATGTGTAGCCAGTACTGTAGTCTATAACACATGTATACACAACACGATGTAGATGACAGCTTGATATTTGTGTCACAAATTATTGACATTGTTAGAACTGTTGTTTGTATTATCAGTGCAATTTGTTAGTACACTACTGGCTGTGTTGTGTTTCGAAAAGATGGAACACAAAATTAACATTCAGTTAATTGGACTAATACTTATCCATAATTAATTTAGATTTTTATTATGGTGAGCTCCATAGTTACATATGTACTTCAATCTAGCCAAGCGATACATGTATACATTTGTCGGTGCCTGTCCATTAATAAATGTTGATGGTTATTCATGTATGGCTATGATTAGTAGATTTAGTTTAAGTTATTCATCAGGTTGAGTTTATTTTATACATGTAGGTTAGTGGCCTATATGTAGCAACCATGCCTAATAGTAGTATCAATTTGTTCTAGAATTCATTGAATAGCTAAGCTCAAAAATTATTATAATGTCTTGTCCCCATGGGTTAAACTATGAAATTTGAGAATGGCAGTTAAATATTAATTAAAAGGATGTGACTTTGGACCAATTTCGCCTCAGTCACCATACATTATAATTTATAATGGTATTATTAGAGATGATATTAACATTTACATGTAGTCCCATGTAGATAATAATAGTATATGTCCCAATATATATTACAAACTGACGTGTGGTCTAAAACTTTTTATTCAAATAAATCACTCTTTAAACATTAATAGTAATAGTGACCAAAGTTTTAACAATTGGTTTAGACCATCAAAGTAATGTGTTTTTAAAAGGTCAGTAGACAGATTGAGAGCCACTACAAAATTCTTTATTTAAAGATTATATAAAATTTTAATATATGGACTCAAAAAATATTATTGGCCAATTAAAGAAACATTATTCAAGAGCAAAATTTGCCTATTTTGCAGATTTCTTTAGGCCTTAAAATGTTATATAAATTATTAATCAGACATTTATTGACACAACAAGATCATAATCAACTCTAGATTAGAATGGTGTGACCATTTATTGATTTAATTTAAAAATTGAGAAGTGAGACTAAGACTAGTAAGACTCGGAAATACATGTACCAGTACCATGGTTACATCTAAATCTTACATAATGTATCTTTAAACAAAGTAACATGAAAAGAATAAATAATGAGAATAAATACTGAAATAATTCTAAAAGAGGCAATGGTCTTATTCAAGTTGGATCATAATTTTATAAAAAATTTCCTGGCTTTTCCACTACACTGTAAACTTTCTATCACCTCAATGTTGCCAGGAAGGATAACATTTACATTAAACAAGTGTATTATTTTCAGTCTAATAAATATTCTGTCCAATAATTCACCATGTGACAATATGTAGCCCTGTAAATATACTTACAGACCATTTGATTAATCAATAAGATCATGTGATCAAAACACCGGCACCCAAGAAAATATATCAGATGTTGATGGAGATGGATTAAATGATAAAAAAAAACATAATTGGAAATCTGAATTTTATTCAGATCGAATGATGATGTGAAGCAGATATTAATTGAAATTGAGTAGGGAATCAAGACCAAGTAATTTGGATTTAAAAATTGTCTAAATAGTATGAGTATGATGATCAAGGATGAATAACTTTTTTTATCCATTTAAATGTACATGTAGCTCTGCGTTTGTGTGTGACTTCTTTAGATTTGAACCATGGCCATTTTACAGCTGCACATGTATTATATAATATTTATATTTATTCAATTGTATGCTGTACTGTAATGTCCATGTCTATCTTGCAGGTCCGAATACATCAGTTGGCAACAGAATTAAAACTGCAGCCATTTGTATATTTATTACGTCAGTCTATAGAACAGTTAATAGAATGTGATACTGGTAATATCTTCACCGAACCTGTTTCTTTAGAAGAGGTAATGTTAATAATACATCAGTTTATAATATATATTTATCTATAAATGATAATTCTCATGGTACATGTGCCTCTTCGCCCCAAATTAATACATGTATTACTATGGGAGAACAAAAATAACTTTATTGTTTTATAAGAGTTTGGATGATAAGTTTTTAATTCTCCATTTAATACTTTGGTTGGGACCATCTAGGCCTAAGGTACCATTTTTCATGATCTCCATGCCCTTACCAATCCTTTTGCCAATAGAATATTTCCAACATTGCATTTGGAACAAAAACAGAAGAATTCAAGTTTTAAACATACATATACATCACTAACAGAAAAATTAAGTCAGATTTTCATTTCCTCTTTATGTAACTATGTAACCTAAACTGGAATACCTTAGTTTTGTCTTAACAATTCTTTTGTGACCTTTTTTGATATTTAAATTTTTTTTGTTGAACAGGTACCTGATTATCTCAGTTATATCGATACACCTATGGATTTTGAGACGATGTCAAATAAGGTAAACAGTCACGAGTATAAGAATATTGATGAGTTCGAGATAGATTTTAATCTTATTTTGGCCAACTGTATGAAGTATAATGCCAAAGATACCGTCTTTTACAGGGCTGCTATTAAACTTCGTGATCAGGTAAATTAACTTTAATCTGCCTTGTATGGGTAGATTTTAATTTGAATGAAATTTATATAAATTTTTGTGTAATAAGGATGGATGAGATTTCTACTGGTGTGGTGGCATTTGCCAAGTTACACATGATAACAGATATCGGTTTTTATTTCCGTGCAATAAACATTTTGAGAGTCATTATCATCATATTTAACATAGGTTATTTGTTTATATCATTTCACCATTCAACAAAAATTACTATTTACACTTGATTAATTGATTCAAAGCAAGGATAGTTTTTAATTACACTTGATTAAAGGTGATTGATCAAAACATAATAATTACTAATTACACTTGATAAAGAACATAAATGTTGCTCTCCATTGATAACTTTTTATATTAGAAACTCAAATTTCTGTACCATTTGCAAGTATTTAAACTGGTATGTGATTAAAATTAATACAATTGAAATTCAGAGAACATGAGGTACAAAATGCAGTGGTAACTCAGATTAAATTTTTGGGACATCTATTTCCAATTGTTAGAGCATTCCAACAAAATTCCTATGCATTATTTGAAGTAAATGATCTTAATGCCAGGTAAATACAGGAATTAGCCACAGGTTCATTTTGACTATATAGATGTTTACCACTTAATTTGTATTTCACACAGAATCATTGATTTCAGAAAGGGGGGTTGGATGGCCGAATGGTTAGCACGTGTGCGCTTAATCATGAGGTCTGTCATTGAGTCAACTGGCGTGAATTATTTAAATAGAATAGAATTGAATAACATGTTAGTTCCGAAATGGCATAGTTTGTGTCGAGTGGACGTTAAACCCCATTTGACTCTTGTATCACAATTAGTTAGAACCCTGGCGGCAGTATAAAAACTCGAGTGGCCACCCTGAATCATGGGAAGTTTCTAGAAACAGCAATCCTCTAAAATCAACCATTAGATGAAAAGCTTATGGTGTCATTGTGAAATCCAAAATTGCCATCGTACTCTGTAAAACTGCTATAAATTTACATATATAGGTATGCTAGATAAATTTGAATTACAGTACTCTTGATTGATCCAGGCTTAAATTTTAAAATTTTATTTCCATGTATACATTGGGCTTGATACTAACATGACACGAAATTAGTTCAGGCACCAATTAGATGTCATAGATGGTAGAATATTGAACTTAGAATCATAGACAAATTATTTATCTCACTTTACACCTTATGACAAGATATGAGTTCAACTATAACTTAACAATATTTATAACATCTTTCAAACTGTTGGTACATGTACTAATAACGGTAGGTGGTTAGAACACATAGTACAAACAGTAAACTCACTAACTATACATTAAACCATTTATTATCATTATAGTACATAGGTGTAATAAGTGTAATATTCTATGGTATGTACTAAATGACTTATTACACATGCTGTGTGGAGTACCGTGATATAAATTGATCAGTATAGAGTTCAATGATTCATGTAGTCTAAAATCTCAGTACAGGTACTCTAGTGTACATTCTGGACCTTCTGATTTCGAGGAGACTCTACAGGCCATAACACACCCCAATCTTTCTTATTTCAACTAAAGTTTGGCTTCATCTGTCTTTCTTAATTAGTTTGTGCAAAGGTTGCAAAAGTATGTTTGTCACAGTATTTGTTTTGATTTTATATTATGCATCATAGATTATGACATACATGTGCGATTTTTGTTAGAGCCAAGTTTTGCAATTCACACGATCCATTTTTGTCCTGATTTGATGAATTGTAAGCACATAAACTTTTTACCAACTAATTCAAAATATAATGTCGCATGTACTTTGTCTTGTCATCAATTGGGTACATATGTTGTAACCTAAATTATTGATGTCAATAAAAGTTAGAAACAGTAATTGGCCATGTTGTCAACCTTGTTTTAAAATGAGAAATTGCATGTTACGTAATTGGTATACTTGTGAGGCCTATAGATTACCAGAAGAGGCTGGGGAAAATTTATTTATCTTTAAAACTTGTCGTTTTACATTTCCTGGCTTATCAATTTCAAGTTTTTCCCATAACAGATTCAAGTGTGAGAGACATCTAAGATTTGAACCCATATCATTGGACTTTAAAGATGTAATGTCAACGATTCTTATGCTTAGAATCTGAGAAATATAAAAGTTTTGCTAATAATTTGCCTGCACATAATTATCCTGTGCTGAACAAAGTTAGGGAAGGATATTGAAATGGGGTCTGTCCCAATTTCGTTTCCGAAGCATCTCATAAACCGGTCAAGATATCTTTCTGAAACTTTGTACACACATCAACCTATTACAGTAGTTGTGCCTTTTGCTATTTAGGAATTTTTGGGATTTATATTTTTTGTTGACTTAGTTTTTGGTGTACAATTTTGTTTCCGGAGCATATCTCATAAACCATTCAAGATATCTTCATGAAACTTGGTACAAACATTTTTTAAACTAATTATAGTAGTTGTGTCTTTTTTGCTAATTTGAAATTTCTGGGATTTAATAATTTTGGTATTTCATGGAAACAAATTTGACTTAGCTTTTGGTGTTCAATTTTGTTTCTGGAGCATATCTCATAAACATTTTGTACAAACATCAATCTATTATAGTTGTTGTGCCTTTTGCTAATCTAGAATTTCTGGGATTTAATAATTTTTGTGTTTAAATGGAATCAAATTTGACTTAGTTTTTGGTGTTCAATTGTTTCCGTAGCATATCTCATAAACCATTTAAGAAATCGTCATGAAACTTTGTACATCAATCTATTATTATTAAAGTAGTTGTGCCTTTTGCCAATTTGGAATTTCTCGGATTTAATCAAATTTGTGTTTCCATGGAAACAAATTTGACTTAATTTTTATGTACAATTTTGTTTCTCTGTTGAATGATTTTTTAATTTTTACTACGCATTTGAATTATTTTATTTTCTGATGATCGTACTTCCGTCCCAATTGCATTTCCAAAGCACATATCTGGTCAAGAAATGTTTTTGAAACTTTGTACAAACATCAAACTATTATATTATAGTACTTTATTTTCTGATGTATAAGCTTAATGTTTAACATCCAGCAGCTGATTGAGGTAGGTAAAGGTTGTTGTGCAAACCTTACAGGGAGTAGCGACCATGCCTTGCCGAGCTACTGTGATCAGAGTATGAATGAATATTGAGGGGTTGGGTGGCTGAATGGTTAGCGTGCGCGCGCTGTATCATTAAGTCTGTCATTGAGTCGACTGGCGTGGTTTCGAATCCCCGGTTGTACGTGACAAGGAGTAGGGTCGCCTGTCCAACCTTGTGGGTTTTCTCCGGGTCCTCCGGTTTTCCTCCCACTGCTAAAGACCCCTACGCGCAGACAAATTATGTAAATATAATTAAACCATATGTTAGTCCCGAAATGACCTAGTTTGTGTCGAGTGGACGTTAAACCCCATTTCTCTCTCTCTCTCTCCCATTGATATTCCAAGAAGTTGTTTTTCCTTATGTCATCCGAACAAGTGCAAAGGCGCCAGATGGTGATGACTAGTCATTTGTTGTATTTTAATATAATGCTTGCTGTATAAATTTCCAGAATATCTCTATTAAAATTATAATTTTCATAAAACATGTGAAATGTTTAAAAACATCAATCAGTTAATATAGACTGTCCTTATGGAAACATGATTTCAAAATTTAAAGAAAAGTAAGAATTGCTGAGAACCAAACAAAACATAATGATTAGGTAACGGTCATGCAACTTGTGAAAATACCTTGAGTAGTTGATATTTTATTACATTTTCTGTAATACAGATAATAATTTGTGAATTATGTAGGCACCGAGGAATGTAATAATTGCCACTTACTTATACTTTACTTGATAATTAGAGACTGGGGAGGGAATATTGCTCATGTTACTGTCAGCAATACAACAGTCTAACAATACACCTGTTAAAATGATTTCTCCCTTGTTACACCACCTGACTGCTTTTATCTTCCAACTCGTTTACCAATTAATGCTACTTCAAGTTCAAGGCTACAGACTATCAGACTAACCTTCCTCACCAAATATTTGTTGATTTAACATATATTTTAAAACCTTTCCAAAATTTTATTAATAAAAGAAAAACACACATGTTTCATACTGATAATTATTAAGGGATTTGAGATAAGAAATGGATAGATTTTTGTGTGAGCTTACAATGTTTTTGATTATATTTTTGATTTGATTATTTCAAATGGTAAGTAGTTATGAAATGTTCTTAGAATAAGTAAGCATACATTGTATCATCACATAGCGTGTATATTGTCTTACATGTAGCTTATGTAAGCTTATCTTTTCAATATCTTTCTAACTAAAACAAAAAAAAAACTTTCAGAACTACAAAAGTTAAAAGCATACAAATGCTGATAATTATATTTCATTATCATACTTCATGGTCTTGTTAATAAAAACTTCTTTTTTTACAGTTTTCATTGGTTTATTTTATTTTTTGAGGTTTATAATCAGTGGCTATGCTTTCATTGCTAGCATCTGTGTTTTCTTAGTGTAAAATATAAGGTGGAGATTGACCCGAGTATGTCTGGCTTTCATGAAAAAACAATTAGAGTGAAATTTAATCAGGCATTTACATACATAAAATTGAAAAGTTTCACAAGCCTTCATGTATGTAATCAAAGTTTATTTGGTACTATTACATGAATTAAAAGCCAATATTTAATGGAGGTTTCTTCACATCTGTGTAAAGTTTAAGCTGCCGAATCTTTTTTATTACTTAAGACATTTCTATTGTTTCCTCTTGTTGATTAACAAAAGCATCTTAAAAATAAAAGATGAGATTTTTATTCGGTGTATAATGGATAATCTTTGTAGACTGAGGATTGTCATGACTCAATAAATGAGATCATGATGGACAATATTATCAAGGGGAGGAAGGCGATCAACTAATCCTATCTTTTACTGAAGTTAATTAGTTGTTATTGCCCCAGGAAATACTTGTGGTTGCTTCTCATTTTTCTAAAGACAGATACATTGTTGATATGTTAATTAGCATAAGAACAATGCGATATTTGTAGTGTGTACACACCATGGTAACAATCCTTGAATAAAAGACAATATGTGTTTCAAGTTTAAATTACCTGGTATCTGTTAATAATTATCTGTTTCAAATTGATGTGTGCATTTTTCAGTTTATTTTAATTATATTAAATAGCCCCATGTTCAATTTACAGAAATTTTTAGTAATGAGCATAATATTTAATATACAGGGTATTGGTATGATATTTCAAAACCAAAAATAGCAATTTAATTGCACTTCATTAAACTATACTAATGTCCAAAAGAAAGTATACACTGCACATTTCGTGCTGCATCAACCAAGGTCGTTTTCCATCGTATGCAGCATTTTGGTACAATGTCAATTTGTTTCGCTTTTTTATTTTGCTTAGAAATGTTGAGTTTTGACAAACTCCGTAATGTTTTATCAAATGTTTTTAATCTAAATAGAACTTAGTCATATTTTTAGTGTGTATACTTTCTTTTGGACATTAAACTACTCAAGTTTTGCCATGTATTATACACAAATCTAGTTTTGCTTATTTTTATAGGAAGACTAATATTTCTTCTTATTCTTTTTTTGAGATGTTTCTTTTTAAAAAATTATAAATACAAATCTATAATTGAAAATACAATTTGATTTGAATTTCTGAAAGTAGATCTTGTTGTAACTAATAATAATGTATCATTTTTTATTTATTTTTACTTTAGGGAGGTGCTATAATTCGATCTGCACGAAGGATGGCAGAAAGGATTGGTTTTGACCTCGGCACTGGCCTCCATGTGACCAGTCCCCCTAAACGGAAAGATAAAGAACCCATAATAATAGAAGATTGTAAGTATTTAAAAGTATATTTAATCTTTCTTTTCTTCTGTAATGTACTGAAATAAAACTTCAAAATGACCCAATTTACCTGTGAAATAACTATTTTGAATATTCTTTATCTTAATGTTTTATTTTCCTTTAGTTGATGCTTTCATGGAAAGAGTTCGAGAAGGAACACCTCTGGAAGAACAACTGAAAATCCTTTTAGATAAAATGGATGAAACCCAAGCAGCCAGAGCAGGTTAGTAGTAGCCAAAATTCTTCTCCTAGTCTTACATTTTCTTTTAAAACTGAAGCAATTAGGTTTGAGATACATTATGTAATTTGTTCACTTTATGCACTGTTTTCAGTATTGATGAACATTGTAGATTTAAATTTTCAATTTGTGAGTCCAAATTTGAGAAATGCTTATCTTTTCAGGGAAACAATCCAAGTTTATGAAGAGGATCAGGAGGGAGATCATATCATTACGCCGCAAGATGGCACTTCAAAAAGGGCAGACAGACACAGATGATGGAGCTAGCATAGATACAGGTGGGGCAGACTCTACTACTATTGTGTGAATTGTGACACAAATACTGTCACGAAGATTGTTGTATATATTCTAATGGCATGTGTTATGGAATTATTTAAATTAATGGAAAGATAAGAAATGAAACCAGCCATTACCAGGCATTGAAAATATGTACAGTAGTGATTATTTTGTCTTCGTAACTTCATCCTTCTTGTTACCAGTGCTTTAAATTGAGCCTGAACAGTAGTGGGTAATACGTCGTTTAACTTTTAACTTTGCCTGCTAGTGATTATGTGTGTGACGTTATCTTGCTTGAACTGAAATAACCAGATTGGTTGAACTTTTTCCAGCCTCAACAACAGAAGCTGTGTCCACAGATAATGACAGTCGTTCACCGTCTCCAGTCAGAGGTTCTAATAAATCCCATTCCTCACCCACAAGATCAGCACATCATGTCTCTAGTCCCAGCAAGTCATCTGCAGAAAAATTCAGTCCTGTTGTCAAGTCTACACCAGGTAGAGGACGTGGACGGGGAAGGGGTCGAGGTAGAGGTCGTGGAAGATCCCGAATACACAGTCAAAGTGAATCAGAACATGATCGCACAGGATCCAAATTCAATGCAGGTATGTAGAGTACAAGATTCAATTGCTAAAAAAATTTTTGCATATGTTTGATATTTTTGTAGAAATTAAAATTTAGTATCCTGATTGATTGAAACTTAACGTGTACTTTAGGTTTAGTCATTAGGTGGAATTAGTTTATTTTCTTTCATTCATTTTCAGATGACAGTGAGCACAATTCTGATGGAGAAGGCAGTAACTCAGTTCCTCCAACACCATCGCCAGCAGCAGGGGTTAATAGGCGGACAGCAGTGTTACTAAACAGCAAGAAACCAAGAGGAGGTGGTTCCACACCTAAAGCAGCTAATGGGCCGCCCACAGTACGTAAAGGACCTGGTCGGCCACCAAAGTCACGACCCATAGACAATGATCTTCCTCCTCCAGTTCTAGAACCAATGATCAACCACCATACCCCTTCTAGTCCAGCTGGTCGCAAACGTTCACTTAGTACTGGAGGCAACTCTAGAGATTCCAGCAGCCGTCCGTCCCCACCTAAGAGAGCGATGTCTCTCAATGATAACATGCCATCGTTACAAGATCAGTCAGATATGAATAAAGAGAGCTTTAAGATTTACCGTCGGGCACCAGTTGGTATTCGAAGTTCCTCTGAATCTGAGAGTACATCTGGTATGAGCAGTGGTGATGAAATGCTTTCTGAGACCTCCAGTGAAAGTTCCAGCAATAACAGCAGATCTGGTGAGTAAATAACGATACTACAAATTTTGGAAATTTAAAAAATATTTTACATGACTGTGTAATTTCCTCTCTCGCTAATATTCTTTAGGGCACAGCATCATTTTTTGGGTGTCATCATTATTAATACTTTAATCAACTTTTTGCAGCTTGTTTTTCTTCATTATACTTTACTAAGTCAAGCTAATTAGTAATAGATAAATTTAAACAAATAATATTGGGCTTTTTATTCACATGACACAAAATGCATTTTGTTAAGTCACAATTCAGCAGATACTATTGTATGCAGCTCGTCGCTTCTTTTGCATTCATTTTTAGCAAGTTGCTTTGGATCTGGGATTTAAGAATTGAATGTGCTTTTATTCAATAGATTAGAAAGTATTATAATATTATTTATTTTTTAACATAAAAACCATAACTATTGAAATGGGGAAAAGGGGCAAAAAGCTGTTAAAAGTACAGTAATAAGATGGCTGGAATTTACCTTTAAATGGTACATGAACACCACAGCACTTTTGATTTGCTCACATAATTACTTTTTGTCCCCCGCCTTTTGAAGAAAGCAGGGGTCTTTTAAAATGGGTCCATCCGTCAGTGTGTCTGTCTATCCATCAGTCCATCGATGCTTTGGGACACAATAACTATGCTTCCAATTGAGTGAGAGTGGTGAAACTTGGTGTGTAGTTTCATTACATCAAACTCAGAGTAAGCTTATTGTTTCAGTACATCAATACCTTGTCTAAGTTCGATGATGAGCAGTTTGATTGGTCGAGACTTTGGAGCCAGACAACCTTGCTAGTAAATTGACTGAGAAATGATCGATGCTTTATAAAAAATATAAATATACAATTAAAAAGATGTGTTTCATCTAATTACGTTTTCAATTTGGTGGGGAAAATCAAGCCCCACTGTTTGTTGTTGTTTTTTTCATTTGTACTATAATTTTTTTTTTTTTTTTTTTTTTTCTCCGTTTTTATGCTGAATCACCCAATGATTATTGCTTTTAAAAAATAAAGATTAAATTATCACATAACCATAACAAAAATACAAAACAAAATATTTTGTTCAAATGAAATAGATAACTAGAAATATAAAGAAAAGAAATGAACAGTAGAATTAGAAGTAAATGATATATTTATTTTTAAATGAATAAATTGGCTAAATGATTTTAAGGCTGCACATTACTTGTAAAAATTACTGAATATCATTTGTTATTAGAAATTCTTTGTAATATGAGCACATGACTGCCTACTGATGCTTTCCGAAATCATCTTCACAGACCCATGAAAATCCAATTAAAATTATTTTTGTATGGTAGTCCATTCTCCATTTGTGCTTTATAACAGATCTATAATCCATAAATCATCTGTAATACAGTCACAAAGTATAAATTGTCTACATTTAAAAAGATTGGTACCGGTACTCATTCAGTGGATAAAAGATCTGAGATTTCATGACCTGTGAAGATGATTTTAACAAAGTTTCAACATGGCGGCTATGTTTATCATGTGTACTCATATTGCAACAGCTTTCTACAACAAACAAAGGCACTTTTTTCAAAATTCTTAAGTCCAGTTCTTGTAAATAAACTGAGGTAAGTTTTATGTAGTTTGCTTATCCCAACGTTTTGCCATTTGACTTGCCTATGCAGCTGTATTTGACAAAATTTTTGCTAATAATTTAATTTAATTTTAAAATAAATATCTTCTTTTCTTCTAAACAAATATTATTTTATGTCGATGTTGACACAACATATTTCTAAGACTAGAAGTTACAGAACTAGAGCTTGGGTTATTTAACATTATTTTAATTTTAGCACATTTTGTTTGAATTCATTTATTATATATCATCATACAATCATTGCCATTTTGTTCATGCTTGCTTCATTCATTCCTCTCATGTTGGCTGTAGATGATCACTCAGATGGTTCCATTAAAGATGACGCTAGCAATACTTGTTTGGATATCCCAGGATGCTCTTCACCTTCTTCCACCCCTAATATGTCCCCTCAGTATGAAGGTGAGCTCAATCGTATTAACACAACTTTTATGCTTTTATTTCACGTTTATGCCATTCCACTTGTTGTGACATTATATTCCATATTTCAACATCACATTTATCCCACTTAAAATTCATTTTCACATTTTATGCCATATTTCAAAATCACATATTATGTCATATTTTAAAATCACATTTTTTGCCATATTTTATATTTTATCAGCTCATCATGTACATTAGGGTGTTTCACTTTTCACTTTTTTCGTAATTTCTAAGGTTTCTAAAGGTCACCAAAGTTCACTGTCAGGGATCAAACTTACACCATAATATTTTCAGAATTTTCTTGCCAAAAATCATTTTTTCCAAAATTGCTGCTATTTTCGGGATTTTTGGACGTTTTGAGATTGACGGATCACTAAGAAAGGTCAGGTATGGCTTGTAGTGTGTCTATTTAATGCTTTTCAGGGATGTAGAGTCTGTTCCCACCATCTTAATGAGATTTTGAGAATCCAAGATGGCACTCAACAAAATCATTTATTTTCGTGTCATGGAAAAGCATTTTTCAAAGAATATAAAATTTTGCTCTCATAAAATTCATTATATCAGGGCCAAAATGATGTTCAGAATGACACTGATCTACCTTTGGTTGAAAATGGCAGAAGGTAATGACTGAAGGTGAAGCTCTGATGGAGTATATTCACCACACTATTAGTCTGGCAAAACTATGACTGAACCTGGAAATTATATACAAAGTTTTTTTTATGATTGATTTTAGTCGCCTAGGGTGTCCTCTTTCAGAATCTACCGGTGAACCTTGGTCACCCTTGAGCGTTTTGAGAAATGTAAGATGACGTCCAAGACGGCTGCCTTTTCAAATAAACCCCTTTAACTACCATAGTATTTAGTCTAGGATGATACTTTTGATGTCTAACCATATATTTGTGGGGCCAAGAAATACACCAACAGCGTTCATTATGTTGTGGGATGATTAGTAAAATCCAAAATGCCAGACAATATGACCCTTTAACTCGTTAGCAGCCGTTGGGGGCGATTATTTCATCAAACCAAACTATATCTACAGACAAACTATATATTTCTGATACAATAACACTACATACATGCCTATCAGAAGCTCCAGGACTACATGGATCGGCCCTGAAAAGGGAGGCACAAGCTGTTTTTTTAATATTTTTGAAAAAAAACAAATTCTACCCGCAAACCACGAAAATAACCTCCAGTTTAATCCTGTAGTCGCGTTTCTGGCTGCAACCTGTGAAAGCACAAGTGCAAAATACTGTATAATCTAAACCATCTCTGGTGCAGCTACAAGCACGCGTACTACTACATGAGCTGGAGCATGTTGACCGGTTGTAATGTTCTGACATGTAATTTAGTTTCCTTAACCCAGTATTAGTAATATACTAATATAGTTCCAGAATGAGATCAAATTCCGGCAGATTATGATCTTTCAGTCAACTTGACACAATAGCTGGGTGATGACATCTTTTTACGTTCCCTACACATCATGCTTCGGAGCAAGACTACATGGTTTAGGTGGGGATGATAATGATACATTTCCCATTTTGGATGCTTATACCCTCCAACGTGTTTCAGGCATCAATTTCCAAGAGCTCTGTCCATAATAAGCTTACAATGGAATCACCAATCGAGGAAAGAACAACCGTTGACATTGGTTCAACTACTGAGAAACACATGTCCATTGAAATCCTGCCAGCTCATGCTCATCCTGGATGTGACACAGTTACAAATACATGCTCATATGTCGTGGGGAAAAGGAACAGCTTTGAAAATGGTGAGAGCTTGATTGTATTGTCTCTCACTCATCAGAGTAGTAGTAGATGCTCCAATAGAATCAGTGCTTACACAGGCCACTGTATATATGTTGACTGTGTTATGGACAAAGTTCTAGCAAATCGATGTTTGAAACATGCTGGAGGGAATGGACATCCAAAACCGGAAATGTATCGTCATCATCCCCAACCAAGCCATGTAGTCTTGCTCAACGAATGATGCATTTGCAGGGAAAGTAAAAAGAGCTCATCACCAAGCTATTGTGTGGAAGATCGAAATACGCCGGCAATGTGATCCCGAACTGTGTTGCTGGGCGAAGACTCAAAATTGAGAACATTACTTCTGGCCAACTTGCTCCAAATTCTGTCATGTGTCCCTGAAGCTCCTGATAGGCATGTATGTGGTGTTATCGTATCACTTATATGCTCCTATGTCCAGAAATATATAGTTTGTCTCTAGATATAATTTGGTTTGGTGAAATAATCGCCCCCAACCTGACCTTTCTAAGTAAATGAAATGAAATGAAATGGGGTTTAACTTAACGTCCTACTCTTCTGCTCCGAACTGGGCTAATGTGTGCTATGACTATGAAATTTTGCCCGGACAGCGGCACTACGGCCTAGTCTTATATCGAATTCCAACTGTCAAGGGATCTTTTATGTACATGTCATTGTTTACACAGGACCTCTATTTGTCCCATCCGAATGACTAGACAGCTGTCCTTGTCAGGCCCGCTGTCCTGCATCACTGACAAGGGGGAAGCATGCCGGAAAATCTGGATGAACTTTCTCAGCCAATGCAGGGATCGAACACCCGACCTCCAGGGTAGCGAGCCAACGTCTTACCCACTTAGCCACCATGACCCCGCACCTGTCAAGCTCAAAAAGTTCGAAAATCCCCAGATTTTTGGCAAGAAAATTCTGAAAATATTACAGTTTTTTAAGTTTGACCCCGAATGGACTTTGGTGACGGGTAGAAACCTTAAAAATTACGAAAAAAGGGAAACACCCTAATGTACATGTAGATGCCTGCATGAAATTAGGCTTAACACTTTCGCTATTAAATCATGGGTGCTGGTCACTTATAATAATATACCGGTAGCAAATTAATGCAAATACTTTAGAGTTTGGTTTTTGAATTTTAGTGTTGTATGCATGCACACACTAATACTAATATCCATCCCTCGGTTTAATCTGTGGTCTTCCCTAAAACTTTGGACAGTGATTTAAGGTATTAAAAACAGTGAAAGTATTGTTCGTCTCCAATTCCAAACAGTATTGTTTACATTGTAACTGTTGATAGCCTCGTTTGTCACACAATTAGTTTTTCTGCAATATTCTGCTATGCATTGGTTAATTGTGCGTAAAAATTTCGTGAGTCATGACGTAATGTTATGTAAACAATGTAGAGCTCTGTTTTAACCAAATGACATTGTTACGCAGTTAGGCATTGGTTGTTAATCAGACTATTGACCAGTCATAATTTGGAAAAGAAATTTGCTTTTATTACAGCAGTGCTTGAGTGGGATTAGGTCCAATCAAACGAAACACTGCAAGGAGTATGTAGTTATATTGAAACAATGCTTAGAAAATTATCAAATAAAATTACTTAAAAACATACATTATGCAAGAGCTAAATCTGTCTATAGCAGGTCTTTCTTTAGACCCAAAATGTTTTCTGAATTATTAATTAGACATTAATTAACTGATCCAGGCCCTAATCAACTTTCGATGACATCAGATTTCTCTGATATTAAATAGATTAGAACGGTTCAGCCATATTTTGATTTAATTTAAAAATGGAGGAGCAAGACTTAGCTTTAAACAACCAGTAAACCTTCAAAGGCTAATATCTTCGCTCGCAATAGAGTAATTTGAATGAAATTTTCAAATTATTAATTTTACATGTATCTATTATAGCAAGAATGGCTAGCTCTTTATCTAAATCTTACATAATGTATCTTTAAATATCTTCATAGTATGTCTGTTCTTAAAAAATTTCACAAAAGGAAGCCTTTGTTGTTTTTAATAAAGGGAATTTGTCTTTGCACTGGCATTTTCTGTTTTATTAATTATAACTATTAAAAATGGCATATAATCTTAACTGGTGCAACATCACAAACGTTTGTTGATATTCTGTATGTCAAAATATTACTAGATTTACTGGTTTTATAATGTTTATATGCTTTCTTAAATAGCCATAAGAACAAGAGGATATTATATTAATAAAAATTCCAACAATTTAACTGATAAAAAGGAAGTCGGAAATGAAGTTAATCATGATGAAAACTCCATTGTAATAGAATATTTTACTGAACAAGATGTTCAAGGTGATACAGATGGATGTTTACAAGTTTTCTGTAAAGACCAGAAAAATGGTTCAACAATAAATATTGTTGATAGAAAGTTAGCTGGTGAATGTTCTCAAACCCAGTTAAAAATTACAGAAGCAAAAAAATTACAAGTGGGGCCATCTGCAAAATTAACTCCAAAAGAATTGACTTGTAAAAAAAAGGAAGTTAATGACAGATCAGACAGAAGAACCCACGTGTCAAAATCCAGTTCCTGCCAACTATCAAACATGGAAGAAGAAAAGACTTGTTGTTATTTGAACTATTCAACCAGACGGGCATCAGGTAGAAAGGAGCAGACACAAGGTGTAACAGGTAGACAGAGTGATCATCTGGCCATTTCTAACAGTAAAAATACAACTGGGCTGAAAAGAACAGATGAAATCATGGCCATTAAGACGTTTCGTTTAATTGAAAACCAGATTTCTGCTCCTCCATATCACCTGGAAAATTCTGATTTGTCTACTCCCAGTGAGAATAGAATTGCCAATAGACACACCTCCGACCATCAGTCAACTTGTTTAAGCTGTGAATTATGTCTGCTGGTGGACCTATCTTATAAACAGAAGCAAGCAGACACCAAAACTGGTAGTAGAAGTGATAAACACTCTTTCAAACACAATCAGGGTATCTTTGGGCTTATTGCCAGATTTTTACAGTTATAGAGTTTAAAATATTCACTTTGGTTTCTGTTTTCTTTCATTATCTGAGGTTCCTATTATTTTCTATTCAGTTGAATTTGTTCATGAAATTTTGAATTTTTGTTATGAAATTGTAATGATAGTTTTTTGTCGCATGGCTGAAAATTGAAAAAGGAATTCTATCTATCAAATCAGAAAATAACCAAAAATTGGGAAACTGTAATTTTCTGTTTGAGTGCATATCTAATTTTTAGGTGGCACCATCTTTAAGAGAGTAATTTTGTAATGTAAATAAATAGTAATGACCTGGGGCGGGCCAGCTACTAATAGATTTATAAACTGCCACTACTGACCATCATGGAATTAATGGAGCAATTGTACAGCGTATAAATACCATTAACACACCTAGATTTGTGTAGAAACCAGCTGTAGATATCTACCATAACACCTTTCAAGCGTTTCATTCTTCTACATTATCTTATCATACCATCATTTTAATCAATCTGCTAGTCATCATCATATAGGCTGCTCAGTTAATTGAATTCTAATTCTAATAGCCAATACAGAGGAAATAAGTAACCAAAAATGTATGCTCTATTTTTATTGTCTAAGCTAACAAGATACATTTTTCACTTTCGGAATATATGCAAGATTTTAAAAGAATTTGTTTAATTAAAATAATCATATGATAAATTTATGTATCAATAGACTAAAACAGTTGATTTTAATTTTAATGGAAAAATGTAGATTACAGTCAATACTGATGTTTAGATTAAATGTGTTTTCAACCATACTTGTTTTTTTTAGTTAAAAACTGTTCATACTATTACTAATTTGGGTTTTTTTTTTTTGTTTTTTGTTTGTTTTTTTGTTTACTTGGTGTTTATTACTCGATTGTGTTTGTTTAATATATATAAGGGGCATTAACCCTTTCAAAAGAAGATAACTGTATTAATTTTGGATAATATTAATAAAAGACACTGACCTATTTAGAATCAGAACACCTCGAAAAACACTAATAATGTGTGCATCTTCTAAATTGAGCAATTTTTAAATTCAATCTAATTTGAACTATCCCAAATGCAACTATGTATAGTCAAATTATGTCAAACTGAAAATTGTGTTTTAGTTACCAGTGGACAGAACACTAGTGCCTCTGTATCATTTTGACCTTTTGCTACATATTTGAGAGTTTTGTGAAAACATTGATCAGTTTATTTATTTTTTTATTGTTGGTATTAGACTCATGTACTATGATGTACCTACATTGTACCATGAACATAAACCTGTGTTGTCATGTGGCGGATATTTTAATAAGTATTGGGTCAGTAGTAGCTTTAGTGTTCATTTCACTACAGCAGTCAAGGTATTAAGACATTGTACAACTACAACCATAATATTGTAAATTCATATATCGTTTCAATCACTATCATTCTTGATTCCATTTGGCTACCGGTAAAGCCATTACATTACATGATGTCATCATGGGGTCTCACCCTTTCTTAACTTCTTTAGAATTTAGGGATTTTGAAAAACTAACTAAATGACATATTTTCAGGTCGACCAAGAAGAAGTCCTAGTTTTGATTCTGATGATGTGATTCCTCTAGAACCGTTAGATTTGGTGTGGGCTAAATGTAGGGGCTATCCATGGTATCCGGCGCTGGTAAGTAATGTTTTGAAAAACTCAAAATGTACTTATTGTATTATCATACAACTTTTATTTAAAACACATTTATTTAATCAGGCTTTTAACCGACTCTGACGACTCTGTATACAATCGTTAACATGTCCATAATCTTGATGTTTATTTATGATTATATTGTCACTTTGTAAAGTATCCCTCAACATGTTATATGAAAGGGCGCACTATAAATATGTTGTAATACTTGTAATAATAATTATAATAATAATAATAATAATACAGATTCAATCATTTCTGTGTGTATGAAAAATGTAAGCTTACTGCAAAACATGAAAATGAATTATGGTGGATGAAAATACATCAATGTAATTATACGGGCCAATCAAGTCGTATTTACCTATATAATTTGACCGCGTAAAAAGTTAAGTTTAAATTCATAATGTTCAACTTTTGTCCATCAGTTTAGACGTCTTATCTCAGGTACCCTGTCAAAAATACATCAATTGATAAATATGACTCATTATGAGGCAGTGGAAAAAGATTAAGGAATAAGAACTGCAGTTTCAAAGACAATCTCCCCTTTCAATTTACTATTCTGAGTGATAAGTTTTCTAGACTGTAATATATCACAGCTTTTAAGGTATCATTCCTTTTGAAAGCAATATATCTGTCATTGTACAGTGGGTGGGTGAGAATTTGAAAATAAACACACAATTTGTCAGTTTTTCAAAAGTTTTCAATTTACATACATTAGGCTACTCACTATTTGTACAAATAGCCTACAAGTACATAGTCTGTAAGAACAAAGTTCTAGCCCATGTCTTGTGTAATTCTCGCAATGTGTTTATGGTCTGATCTACAAATGTTGAACTAGAAATAAAAATAAGAATAAATCGTGTTTAGATCATTAGATTGTGTAGAATCGGGTGATATTTATTTTGACCAATGTTGTGGGCTTTCTTTTATGTTTTTTTCCATTGTTTTAGCTTTCATTGTTCTAACTTATACTTACTTATTGAACCTTACGTGGGCAACAGAATATAATTTGATGTCATTGTATTATAGATAATACTTGATGAATTTAATCAATACTAGAAAGTACCAACCTTCCACTTCTATTGTTTCGATTACATTAAAGAATTTATAATTCTCTCATGGCGTCATGCCCATCATGGCAGATTATGCATACTCTTGAAATCTGGAAAGTCTGATACCACTTCCCACTGTACTCATGGTGACCATAGATGTGGTTCATAGCAGCTTTTAGATTTTGATAGGTACTGGACTGTATATTGTGTGTTTTCCATCATTATGAATTAAAATTGACTGCCTGACAATGAAATTTACTTGACCTACTATAAATGCTAAAGTTGTAATATATATATGAACCTGGAATGGGAGGATGTTTATAATAAGTTTGTATGAGGTAATAGTGAGGAAATTGTTCATCTGGTATTTATTTACTTGGTTACAGATAAGTCTATAGTCTTGTACCTATAGTATTTATTATAAACATGCACCATTTATTATATCAAGTGGAAATCAAGTCAGATATTTAAAAAAAAATATTTTTAACAGTTGCACCTCCCATTCATATGGTTCTTATTTTGCTATTAAATATAAGCTTACACATATATATTTTTAAAGCTTTGACTTCAGGAGAATTATTCCCAAACGTTATCTGGATCTAAATACAATTAACTTAGGGTTAGCTTAAATTAACATTCTTAAAAATAATAATACCGTACATATCGTCCAGGTGATTTGGAAGTAAAAGGTTACCAGCACTAAGTAGTGACTGTAAAAAGAAGTTGTTCTGCTATATTTAGGTACTCATTGCTTGATAAGGACTAGAGACACTGGGTCAAAACTTCCCTCAATAATAAACAGTAACAGTATTCCATGTGACCTGTGTTCCAGTTCAGTTACTAAATGCCATTGAATGGAAACAATTCATTCATATGTGGTTGGAAATAAATTCCATTGTATATTTTGCTACATCATTAGTTGTATTTCTTACTTAGAGAGCATTGTTTAACAACATTTCATTCTACATTTACTGCAAGTTTAAAGACATGGTGCTGGTACTGTTATTTCCTACAGGAATTCCCTTTAACTGTAGCCATACATATCCTGTTTCCGGTCCGTGCTAGATCCTTGACATTTCACAACTTTTTAAACAGTGTAATTGTGCTGTACTGTACAGCAACCGAAAATAAAATATTGAATGTTGGCTTGATGTTGAAAATACCGCATTTAATATACTAAAAGCAATTGAAATGACTGTAAGAAAAATTTTCTCTAACAACCTATAGCACATATCCTGATACCTGTTCAGGTTTTATTAAAATTTCAAATTGCAGAGATACACATAAGTTAGCAGTATTTTTTCGCATTTATTGATTTACAAGATCATTTGGTGCATTTTAGAATGAAATTTTTTTTCTGTCTTTGATGAGGGAATCATTCATTATATTATCAGAAAACGCATATTATTATATTATCAGAAAATGTTTTGCCCATAACATGTTCATTTTGTTGAAACCTGAATGCTTTATGTGTTCAAATACAATCAATATCAGGTGGAAAAAGATTATTTCTTAGACCGTAATTACTTTTCATGTATTGCAGATTATCAACCCCAAAATGCCTAAAACAGGTTATTTTCATAATGGTGTACCAATACCAGTACCACCTGAAGATGTTTTAGGCTTACGTAATCGCTATGATGAAGTTGTCTACTTAGTTCTTTTCTTTGATACCAAACGAACTTGGTAAGTTTATCAAAACTTTTTTTTAACACGAACAGCTATTAAAAAGGTTTTCCCTAAAAAAATTGAATAATATGGATTTCTTTGATATCTTAAGAATGAATAAGATGGTATTTTACATGATTAAATCAAAAAATGTATGTAGATTAGATACCATTTTGAATAGCGATCAGTTATCAGCCATTGAAAGTTTGACGATAACAAAAAAAAAGTAACAATGGTCACATGATATCTACAGAAAATAATGTGGACATGTCCATAGTTTTCCTTGGCACAGATCAATTTAATAATTTTGAAGCATTATGCTTTTTGGAAAGCCTACTATTTTATTTTTTATTATTATAAGTCTGTAATTGCCATTTATTCCAGAATATTGGCTTTTAATAATTTGAAAGATATTTTAAAATTTGGCATATATAGACTTCTACCATATTTGAAATGAAAAATGACTGCTAACACAATACACTCATAGAACTGACATACATTGTTAACCTACATGTATTGAATTATATTACATACAAACATAATATAAACACACTTTTGTTTTGTGATAAGAAAGATGGTTATTACATGATAAACAACAGACAGCTATTTGTAGGTCAGATGAAAGTGATTAGTAAGATGAAAATATAATAGAAATTGTTCTAACAATGGTGTGTTAATAAATTATGTATATAAAGAACAGAGTTGAGTACAAGGATTAGATTTCACAATATAACACATATACTGTATGTTACATTGACATACACTAGTCAAGAATATATTTTATTATATTACAACAACCTGCTTCACATAATTATACACAGCTGACATACTGGAATAGTAGTTACAGAACAAAATTAAACTGGCATTATTCATAGGCCAAGTAGTCAAAATTTGTTTTCATTATTCAAGTCAAGCTATACAAATGTATATCAATTAAAGCTGTACAGTATGAGAAGGCATAGTTTCCTAAATAAGGCCTGAAAGAGCTGATCTTCAGATAAATCAAAATTCTAGGTTGGACAACATCTTAACCTTGATGTTCATAGATAGAAATGGGTTATTCTTTTGAATCTGTCTAATGCTTGAACTTTAAATACAGAAAAAGGGGATATCATAAAATCAATAGAAAGTAATGGAAACTTAAAATGCCCATAACTTAATTTAAATTGGGGAAAAGATTCCCCTTTAATATCTTCTTGATAATATTGGACAGAAGTGGTGTTTTAATAATAATCTACACTCTGTGACTGAAGATTGTTAATTAAAAATGAAGTAATCATCTACTACATAATAAGTAAAATATTAAGGTGAGATAGATACATGTAGAATGATAACATTGGCACCCTGTAGACTACTTACCTTCTTATTACAAGTATACCTATGTAATTAGTAACGCAGCTTCAATAAACAACCTGCTACTAGTACTAGTTCTGTTAGCAGACTGTAATCTTTTTATTTTCTGCTGACTAGCAATAATACCTGAACTATAACCTAACAGTAATTAACCTCAAAACTAAGCATTCATTACATAATCATACCTTATTTTAATCAACAACTACATGATTAACCTTTATTTAAAACAAAACTAAACCCCTTTTATCAACCATCAAATTCGACCTTTATTCAACCAGCAAATATGTCCTTTATTCAACAAATAAACATGATCTTTATTTAACCAACAAATGTAACCTTTATTCAACCAACTGATATGATCATTATTCCATTAACAACCAATTAATTACATTAATTAGTTACTATGTAATCAACAAATATTATCATTACTAATCAACAGGTATTCAAGCAAAAGATATTATTAACAAATATGACCTTTATTCAACCTTTTTTAAATTGTTTTCCAGGCAGTGGTTACCAAGAAGTAAACTAGAACCACTAGGAGTAGATTCTGAACTAGATAAAATGAAACTATTAGAAAATAAAAAGCCTAATGTCCGCAAAGCAGTACAGAAAGCCTATGAGAAAGCCATTGTTCATCGATGCAATGTCAACGGTGAACCAAATCCACTTTTAGCCGAGTCTAGCTCAGAGGATTAATTTGTTATGAACTTGTAAAAAAATGTTTTCAAACTATTGTACAGTGACCCCCTTTTCATAATTTATACATCCACATCCAGAGATAATTTTGTAGCATTTTGATAAATATTTTGTTTGGTCATAATTATTTGCTGATTTTATTTTCCACCTGTGTATATACTTGTGTAAGTAATGGTATAGATAGAATGTAATTATTATATGTATGAACTTATCATTTTAACTTTTATTTCCTGCTTGAACCAAATTATTTTGAGTACCGTAGTAGATGCCCTGAATTAACTATTAAAGTACCGGTATATCTTTATGTAGAGTTATCAGTACTATATAATAATTTGACTTATACTTATAAACTGTATTATTGATTCATTTGTAGATAATTGCATGACTTAGTTTCCAGACATAATCACATACTTGTTTATGACTTTTTATTCATAAACACACCTACTTTTGGTAGTCCTCATGATTTCATCCAACCAACAGAAATCTCCAATGGGCACATTTCATTTGATTGTCAATACAGTTTTGTCATAGTGTGCTATTGTTCATTTGTTATTAAGGTATGTGTCCATGAAATTGACAGTGTAGATTTAAATATTATGAAAAGACCTGGTTTGTTTGTATATAAAACCATTGTTATATGTTGATCATCCTGTATGAAGCTAGATCTTGTTTACATTTATTTAAAAATAAACAATGAGGAAAGAAAAGTGGTCTTTTGATATGTATTATCATGCTGTTGCTGGTGTCCTGTCCGTTCTTCAGGAAACACATCTATCATCTGTTCATGTTAATGTGTCAGGCCCCGCTTACCAAAGTCAAACTCCCCCAAAACTTTTGGTCCTTAACACATGGTTTAAGTTTAATCTCCTGAATTGGACAAAATTGAACTCTTCCAAGAACTACTGATACTCGTTTTAATTTTCATCTCAATCGGATAAAAAATGTGACCTCTAGATGGTCCACAACCTGAGCCGCCATTCAGACTCAACCATAATTATTATGTAACGGTAATATATTTGAACGGGTTTGAAAATAATATAAAATCGATGAGCCCTCGAGACTCCACAAGCTGAAAACGTTATATTTCATACCATAAGGGGTCATAATCCAGAAAGTTACAGTCCAATACGCGCCAATATCGAAATTTGCACTCATGCATCATTATGGTGTAACGGTAACATATTTGAACATACTGTTACAAGGGGGCTCCACAACTTAAAAATGTATATATAGGAAGTGACGGTCCAATATGCGCCAAAATCGAAAGAAACCGAGATCAAGTTATAAACATACTAAGTCAGTTTGACCCCCCCCCCCCCCAAAAAAACCCAACAAAACAGAACCCATAAACATTTATAAAACTCTCAAGGGTCATGCAAATTTCAAGAAATTGCTGGACTCTGGGGATTTCCTTGATTATCTCAAGGATAATGTGTACCAGAACAACCCTCAAAAGATTGGTGAATTGAGGGCAGCAATCACAGCGCGACATATGCAAGTTTCCCTCCAATACCGCGGAGGCCATTTGGAGTAAGATCATTAGTGTTGATTAATCTTACAGTTTTTGAAATGCTGTTCTAGGGCTTTGAAAAATGAAAGGACACTCCACAAAATTCCAATGATTTGCATGTAGGCTACTCGCAGTTAATGGAGGCAAACCACAAATCAACAAAATGCCTGTCTTCGGTCAAATCAGAAAGAAAACTGTGGACCCAAAATATTGATTTGAATGCTTGCAAGTATGGTGCTAAGGGTCCCCAAAGAATTTAATGGTCTCACGTATTTGGTGGGCTCCTTTTTAGTCTTGATTTATGTCGTTTTTGATGAATTCGTAAGATTGCCACACGCTGAATTTGTGCATATGATAGAAACGCCACAAAACACCATTTACGGGTAATTTTTCAAGCCCAGATTCGCGTTGTGTGACTACGGTAAATATACACCAATTACCTAGTCAATATTTATTCTTAAACGCTGCTGGCGTAATTAGTATTTTTTATAAGTTTACACTCATTCCTTTGACTATAACTTTTGATTGTTGAAATATTTTAAAACCATATTTGCAGGTTATGGCGATACGTGAAATAATTATTAGTTTTCATTGCGCTGTAGGGCTTGAAATAAATAAGTAGTACAGTATCCCAGGGTCACCAATTTTGGAACTCCCTTTTTTACCATGTACGTGGCAAGGAGTAGGGTCGCCTGTCCAACCTCGTGGGTTTTCTCCGGGTCCTCCGGTTTCCTCCCACTGCTAAAGACCCCTACGCGCAAGCGAATTATGTAAATAAAATTAAACCATATGTTAGTCCCGAAATGACCTAGTTTGTGTCGAGTGGACGTTAAACCCCATTTCTCTCTCTCCCCCCTTTTTTACCAATGTAATATTCCCAAATTAAAGTTAAAGTTGGCGATGTGTATATTTTGTGAGATAATATACTACACGTTAGCCTCTTTACTTGTGATATTTATAAAACACATACATCAGTGTCTGATCTGCGGTTTGGTTATAATGTTATCCTAACTCGAATACAATATGTTTGTCAGTGAGCCCCTCGGTTCAACAAGTAAACAATAAACGAAACAAATATCATGGGTATGACGTTCACAGTTCTAAAAATAATGTACTTCGTGGTACACATATTTTAATGACGTAAATATTTTCTGCACAATAAGTAAATCTTGAGGGTTTTTTTTATCAGAGGTAACTAGACATAAACCTTAAAAAACAAAACAACAGACGAGCTTGTCTGTCAAAATTTTGCCTAGAAAATAAACTGTGTCGTACATTCAACTTCAGTTTTTTTTAAAACAAACGCGTTCAAGATGAAGCGATTATATTTTGACAAATAATGTTAATCTAGTTTAATGATTTTTTTGGGTTTTCAAATTATGTTAAGATATTTAAAACATGTTTGCCAGGCAGATTGTTGACATTGAAGGCAATGCTCTGAATCTCTGATCTATAGATATTTGTTATCCGTCGGAATCAGATAAAATTCTGGTTCCTCACCTCTGTAGTTAAAACTTGTTTGCCAGGCTGGTTGTTGACTACAAGGCAGTGTTCTGATTTACAATAAATTACAAATCCAGGTTCCTTCTCTCAGTAATATTTAAAACGTGTTTTCCAGGCAGGTTGTTGACCGTGAATTACAACTATAAATATTTTGTTATCCGCCGAAATAACTTAAATTATGGTTCTTCCCTACTGTAGATTAGGAGTAAATATAGCCGACATGAATTATGTAATGGGCAATGGACAATTCTTACATGGAGGACCTGTCCTGTTACCTCCAGAGTAGAAACGGATAAAGGATGAATGAATAATGCCTTAGATTTAGATTTTCTTATATTTATGCTAAGCGGAATATTCCTTTAATGATAAAACCATGTGGAAACCAAGATCCCATGGATATCTATAGCATTTAATATCAAACAATTCAAATGGTTCACGATTTGATAAGCCAGCATATTTAACGGTTTACCCCAGAAATAAAGATTAAAATAACTGATTATCTCTCCATTATCATACCCTTTAATAAGAATTTGAAAAAATTGATCCCAATCTTAGCCACTGCAAATATTTTCCAGATACTCGGCATCTTTGATGGATTGATTCCAATTAAGATAAGAATGGTAATTGTCGGTTGGTTTATCAGAATGGTTTATAATTAGTGTGTATACGTTTATTCTCTACTAAAAAACATATCTTCGTTCTGAATGTTTGGGATGATTAAAATGCGTAAAAAAAAAAGAGAATTAAAATAGCTAATGAGAATCCACATTTTACGCCAAGGTATATAAATAGTACTTAAAGTACGGTAGTCCCATAATGAATTTCATCCACGTTATTACCGTTTGCATTTTCTGTAAGAGGACCTATCACGACATTTGGAAAAGAATTATTAAACCAAAAAATGAAATGGGGTTTAACGTCCTGCTGTTCTGCTCCGACTGGGCTAATGAAGTTAGGCATACGCCATACAGTGTGCTATGAGGGAAATTTTGCCCGGGCAGTGGCGCTCTGCGGCCAACACTGGGAGCCAACCCGCGACGTCGAGACTAGTGAGCCAGTCTTACTTAGCCATTGTCTTTTTGTTCTTGAGGCGGTCAACATGAAACTCGGACCTCGTTTTTTTATGACTTCGCGATAACGTCATAATCGGTTCTTGGTTAATACATTACATTCATACTTATTCTTTTTTTTTTAAATAATCTTTTAAAAACGAACAAACTTAAAATAAATAGAAGCAATCAACTTTTCTTAAATGCGCATTTTCTTGGGATTTTTTTGTTCATTTAAATCGCTTTTTGATTAGATCAACTGGTGGTAAGCACAAGTAGAATGTTGGTAATCATAGATTAGCGGAAGAGTGTTATAAAAAATAAACTGCTGAATGCAAATGAGTGAGCGAATACAGGCGATATTATTATGTCCTTCCCATGAATTCTGTACAAATTACCATGAAATATTTATTATCTCATATGATTCACCAATCGTATAGTTACAGGTCTACAGCAGTGTAAACAAACTTCAGCATCTGAACGCAACCAGGTTTCAATGTTGCGCCGATGCCTCGTTGGGTTTCAGTTTTGAGAACGCTGTAACCATGTCCATTCATGCAGGGAAGTGCCAAAATAAGAGCGTAGCGTAATCTTCGCTGAACAGAAGTGGAATATTTATTAAAAACAGGTAATTTGTTTACTGTGGATCCTTTCAGCTCCGACAGAACAAGGCACCGGGGTTTCGGAACGTCTTCGAGGCACCGGGACATGGCGGTGGGGGACAGGAGATGACCTCTCATCCCGGAAATTCTGGCGCAGAAACGATGAAATCTGACGTCTTCTGATTAGAACACTAGATACAAGAACCGATTTGGTGCACTTTATCGAATCCAGGGTTTAAGGGTTACATTTAAAAGACTGATCCGTTGACCCATTTCAGTCCCGAAAGAACAACCGGTAAAAATGTAATGGCAGCGGGGCAATTGCATCCATAGCCTCGCCCCCCCCCCCCTGCAAGCCCACATTGAAATATATTGTCGTAGTCCCCGTCCGTCGTGGAAGCTCTAGAGGCTAAAAATACCCAATTTAAATTCATACACAGTGTTTAAGGCCATGAGACGAAGAAGCCTATTGATATTCAGTGATTTCCGATAATTACTGCCAGTGTTATGGCCCGTGATCACTTTGGAAAACCCTATGAACGCTCTAGCGGTTAAAGTTAATATCCGATTGACTTTAAATTTATACACAGTGTTTAAGGTCGTGGGACAAAGAAACCTATTAATTTTTAATGATATCTGATGATTACTCGTTATCAGATTTTCATGTGTTGTAAATGTTCTCATTACTGACCAAAGAAAAAAAATATGCGACAACCCTTGTTGACTGTCGGACGACTTAGCTACTGTGAGCGTATGTTTCGTTGTCTTACAACCTTTCTTTGAAACTGGGATTGGGTTCGATTGAAATAGTTTTTATACGCCCACATTTAGATGTGGTCGTATATTGTCGTCGCCCCCGTCCGTCCGTCCGTCGGTCCGGCGTCCACAATTGCTTGTGGACGCTCTAGAGGCTAAAGTTAATATCCGATTGACTTCAAAATTTATACACGGTGTTTAAGGTCTTGAGACGAAGAAGCCTATTTATTTTCAGCGATTTCCGATAATTACTACCAGAGTTATGGCCCTTGTTCACTTCAAAAAAT